TACAACAAATATCACATACTTTAAGACTTTTACTCAAGTTATATTCCTAAAGGAGACTTTAACTTTTACCAAAGTAATTTTTGGTAAGATACTTGTACTTTTACTCAAGTATTACTATGGTACTTTATAAACACTGCCTCAGGAGGCAGGATTCGTAAAGCAACATTTCTGTGTGTTCTGTGTGTTCTGAGTGTTCTGTGTGTTCTGAGTGTTGGACCTTCTGAGTGTTCTGAGTGTTGGACCTTCTGAGTGTTCTGAGTGTTCTGAGTGTTGGACCTTGTGTGTCTCAGGTCTGATGGACGGGAAGCACTGCACGCTGCCCCACCTGACGGGGAAGACCTTTGTTTACAACGCAGCCGAGGAGCGTCTGGAGCTGTGCGTGGACGCTGCGGGACACTTCCCCGTGGGKCCGGACGTGGAGGAGCTGGTGAAGGAGGCCACGGCGCAGCTGCGCTCCGAGGCGTCCTCCAGGGGCAGCAGGGAGGGCAGCCCGTCCCACGGCGTCCTGCGGCTCGGCAGCGGGGGCGTGGTCAGGAAGAAGGAGGCRCTGCAGAGCGTCACCGCCTTCCAGGGCAAAGGTCACTCCCTGGGCAGTGCCGGGGGCTCCTCCCCTCCAGAGCATCGGCCTATCACGCGCCAGCACAGCAGTGGCGTGGACCTGAGCTCCAGCGTGTCCCGYGGACCCCCGGACTTGTCGGACATCCCCGAGGACGCCACCAGGGAGCTGGTGCGCATGGCGCCGGGCTTCGTCACAACAAAGGACGGGCGTGGCCTGGACCCCACCCTGATGGAGCAGCAGAGGAGGAAGCTGCAGGAGATGGTCTCCTCCATCCAGGCCTCCATGGAGCGCCACCTGAGGGAGCAGCAGAGCACCGCCGCCGCGGGGGGCGGGGCCAACCGGGAGCGCACCGCCGGGACCAAGACCAGCTCCAATCCGCCTGCGTCGGCTCAGAAACCCTCAGCTGCAGCCGGAGAGCCGGCCTSCAGGAAACCAGARGAGAAGCTGGAGGAACCGGAGGAGATGGAGAGCCAGGACGCCGAGCAGAACGCCTCYGAACCCATGGATCACTCCTGATGTGTCCGAAGCCCCGCCCCTTCCCCACCTGACCGCCGTCTGTGGGTCTCATGCCTCAGGTCCTAAAGCTTTGGTCTCCATCACGTCACGTTGTCTCATGCATGAAACAGAGTGGGCGGAGCCTCCTCTTGAGTGGGAGCGAGACATGACGGACCAACTCACGCCTCCGTCACATCAGCTGCAACAACACAAACATTTACTGAACAACACAAACGTTTACACAACCTGGCTTCTCACACCTCCGTTTGCCTTTTGACAAGTTTCTCTTCACCTGAYGCTGTTTTGTGACGGCTGCCTGCAGGCGTCCAAACTTCTGCACCCGCCAGTGCAGGAGGGGCGGGGCCAGAGCCAGACGCATTCCTGTAGATACAAAACTCATTTCAGTCTTAATCTGCTGCTGAGCGCCCCCACCCCACTGCTTCCATCACCGTGCACACTCTGACACCTGCTCTTCATCCTCGCCTTCATCACCTGCGTCCGTCTGAGGATCCTCTGACWCCTGCTGCAGCTGACTTTACTTTTTCATTTCTGCCTCCACTTCAACACAACTTTATTTAAACTGATGAGAAACACTGAGAACAGAAACAGCTCCACCTGCAGGCAGGAACATGTTCCTGCAGATGGTCAATGTTTGGAACGTGTTCCTGCAGAGGGTCAATGTTTGGAACGTGTTCCTGCAGAGGGTCAATGTTTG